GGTGGCTGATGATGCACCCCACTTGTGAGCAGAAAAGGAGCGGCATTATATACTTAATTAAGTAGGGAGGGGGGAGAGCGAGCGGGCAAAACAAAAAAGGTAAACGGTTGGTTGAGCCATGATAAGTTCAACAGTCTCAGGTTTGGGCTACAAAGTGGACAAGACACTTGGAAGCGTTGAGCTGAACCTGGAGGAGGCACCATGGCAAAAACATCAGGTCTTCAAACCTGTTTTACTGCCGCAGGTAGTTTTGCTGTGTGGTACAACTTATTCCACGAGGACGAGTAGTCTCCATACTGTTTAGCTGCTGTAGTAAATATATTTGCTGTAGTTCCACCTTAGTAGCCTTTTGCGGGAAGTAGAAAGGGCCAAGACGGCCAAGACCTTCCAAGACTTAAAGCCACATTGATCGAAAGACAATTTTTAACGGGTGGGAGGTAGGCCGCTAGTAAAGAGGTAGCTAAACTAGTAGCTTGCTAGAAGATCTTGAATTCGTCACTGAGCTAGTGGGATGCAGACAAGCTCAGGGTTCCTTGAAGAGGCCCTCGCATGATTGGATTTGGTTCCTGAATTAATAGTCGAGCTTAACCTGTGCCAAGTTGTTGCCAACTTGTTGCTACTTCAGAAATCAGAAGAAGGCCTGCTACTCATGTTTCGAAGTACCCTCAAAGCAAAATTGGCTGATCTTCGATACTTCAACGTGTTTCGTACCCACTTCCGGATTCGTTTGTCTCTTCCGCTTCAGGCACATGTGAACCTTGTTGAGATGCAGCAGATGACAGCTGAGGCTAGCCTTGCTCTTAGACCAGTTCTTGCACGTTGATCTTGCAAAAGGATGTGGGACGTAAGCATATTTTTTTTATAGAAACAAGAAGCTACTAGGGGCTCCTGGCATCCCTACTAGGAGCAAGGACGCTACTAGGGGCTCCTGGCCGTACTACTAGTAACAAGAAGCTACTAGGAACAAGAAGGATTCATCATGGTGTCAGAATTTGGGCACATTCTCACCCGTAGGGTCGACTCTTGTACAACAGAGAAATTGTTTCACAGCCATGCCTTTAACATACTTTGGATGCGTTTGGTCTTTCCAAACATAATAGGTTGGAGGCCATCGCTACTAGGAACAAGGACGCTACTAGGGGCTCCTGGCATCGCTACTAGGAGCAAGGACGCTACTAGGGGCTCCTGGCCTTACTACTAGGAGCAAGATGCTATTAGGTTGGAGGCTATCGCTATATTTGGAACTGGCAGGTGCTGAAGAAGCTTGAAGAAGAGGGCTTGCACCAAGCTGTGCGGTCTACTACCACTGGCTTAGAAGAGATTCCGCCTCCTACTTTGGAGGACAGCAAGAAGCGGTAAGAAGCCCGCCCGGGTTTGTGCAGCTTGAAAGGTCGTTTGTGACACAAGCGTCAATTCATTTGGGTTGCATGTGTTTTTCTGTTTAACCGTTTAACAGTCCATTTTTCCATTCTTCCTTCCGTGTTTGGTTTCGTCCGTATGCCGGCAGAGGACATTGCAAAGCGTGAAGAGGAAGCTCAAAAGCAACGTGATTTGGCGCGCTTGGGCCGCGGCCAAACCAGCACCCGCAGCATCAAACCTCCAGTTGCGGCATCTGAGATTCCTGGATTTGGATCTCTCAAATTTGTTTGCAGTATTTTCTAGTTTGTTTTTTCTTCAAAGAGTAGAGGGTTCAGTTGCTAGGATTTGGCAGATATTCAGTGCATTGCTCAGGAACTATCCTGCCATTCCCTCCACTTGGGTGCTGACCCGGAAGAAGAAGCTTGAGGCCAGGGCCACTTCATATTCTGCTTGTGGGCTTGAAGGGAACACTTGGCCAGAGTATCTTTTGTGCAGGAAAGAAAGCATGCTATGCGTGCGCAACAATGGGAAGATGCCGCACCTGACGTTGAGCAGTCGGTGGAATTGCCTGGTGTTCTCAAAGAGATGCAGGCAGAGTGCCACTTCATGTTCGCTTTGCTAGCGAGCACGAGTGTTCTAAAAACGGTGAAGCACCACACTGCGCTGCGTGAGGCTGAGTGGGCGGCCCGAGACTTGCACGTGGCACAGAAATCACGTGAAGAACGTATGATGGAGCTAAAAGCGGAAAAGAAAGAGGAGAAGATAAAAATCCTACCGGCAAAACTTCCAGCAGTGTCCACCTGCCATGTTTTAGATTGGACAGGCACACTGTGAGAGTATAGGGATCGACATGCGGAGGACATGCAAATGCACAGGCCACGCAATGACACCAGTCAAAGACCCAATTGTAGCAGTATTCAAGTCACACCAAAGACATTCAAACAACAAATATAAGCAGTTAAATATCAAGATGTGACATAACAGTCAATTATCAAACCAAAACAGTTGAAGAACAAAGACAATAACAGGTAAATGGCGAACGTTCCAGCTAAATAGAAAATCAGAGCTAATCGACAAACAAGACAGTTACTGTAATAACATAAACACATAACAGAAAGCCAAAAAACATCCAAAATAGGTAACCAATGATGTTGAATAAGTTATAAGTTATAAAGAGAAGGTGTTACACAGACCGCCTAAATTGTAGCCTTTCAAATTTTGACGGTGGGCATTTGCTGGCAAAACTGCACGACAAGGGGAATCAATTTCGGAGAAAGTTTTCCGAGTACAACAACAACAACAACAACAACGAGTTGTTATATAACATTAGCGAAAGCTAGCTTGGAGTTACCAGCCAGACAGGGGCTAAGTGGAATCAAAAGGAATGCTGCTGTTGTAACAAGTAGGGCATACAAGCAAGTTGAGCACGGACGAGTATTAATTCCTTGCCAACCAAAAACACAGGAAATACAGCTGGACTTCTGGGGTACCCTTTTGCGACATGTTTTAGTGTCTGAAAATTTGGAAGAATCTACCGCGACCGTTTTGGACAATAGCTGAATGCCACGCAACCAGCCAGTTCATCCTAAGAGAGCCTCAATTGTCAAGCCGAAGCAAACATTCCTTGCCAACCATACTCGGTTGCAAGAGCTAGTCATTTGGAGTATTTTTTCTGCAAACATATTTTTGGACAGACATCAAATCCCGATGAATCCAGGAATGCAATGACAGAGAAAAGGTATTTTTCTAGAGAACATGGATTTTGATTGAAAGTATTGGAAGTAATTAGTGGACACTATTCTGGCTCTTTGCGGAAGCTGCCCAACCTCTAAAAATAGGCAGAACGGACTAAGTTTGGATCCTTCTTTTTCTGGGACACGTTCTGTGCCTTCTACTTAAAATCATTTGCTGGAGTCTAGAGTCATACAGTCATACACATCCAAAAGGCATCAACAAGCGGCTATGGTGCATAGCTCACAATATAAAGTACGCCATCGTGAGGGTGACATGTGATGGAACAGTCAGGTTGGCTCCACGGAAGATGGAAGAAGAGGAGGTTGAGGGCCCAGAGCAGAAGGATGTAGAGGCTCAAGAGGCCGTCAAGAAAGACGTGAATAAAATGAACATCAAAGAGCTCAAGGACAAGGGGGATATTGGAAGACATGAGGGGCATGCGATTCTTTTGGGATGGACGAGGGAGTTGAAACAGGTCAAATTTCAATTGGGAGAGTGATGGGAGGAAATGGCAGAGAGCCTTGGGCTGGAGCACGAGGGCTTGAAGAAGGCGACATGGGCTTGCAAGTTTTGAATGCAAGACGTCACACAACCTTGGCCTTGGAGAAGACAAGTGGGACAAGTGGGACAAGTGTTGTCATTTATTTCCTATTTTCCTGACTTTTCGACATTTCTTGACTTGTTTTCCAGGTACAATTGCTTCCTCTGGTGGCTGCAAAGATGGAAGAAGTCATGTTAGCCAGCCAGGGAAAAGCAATCATCTCCACCTTGTAGTGTCCCCAAGTAGGCTGCGCCCAACAGTGTGGTGCAAAGAATAGCAAGGCCATTGCAAGGCATGAATGCAAATTGTCAGCCAAAGGCTTCGATGAGATAATGCTTGGTCGACAAGAAGTCCTCCTGATTGAATCATGGGGACACTAGCACAATTCCTAATGCTACTGCGGAAAAGTTACTCCGAGGAAGACTTCAGGAAGTTTCGTTGCATGGGGACATTATGAATATGTAGGTATGTTGGTGGCAGGGCATGAAATGAAGCTTTATGGGCACTTAGGAGGGCAAGTTCTTTTTTAATCGTGCACACAAAGCCATCAAGCATCAGCACAGGCAGCAAGCACTCGAATTGTTGCAGGAGCTCGTTGAGGACTACTGCCGCGGCAGCCGTAGCGCGAAAATCTTTTGCGTGAAGGCCGGTCCAGGGCACTGATACGCACTGCAACTTTCTCTGGCATAGAATGTTCGTAGCGTCCTTGCTCCTAGTAGCGATGCCAGGAGCCCCTAGCAGCTTCTTGCTCCTAGTAGCGATGCCCTTTGCTCCTAGTAGAATGTTCATTGTAAAACAATATTACATTTGCGTTATGCAATGCAATGATGCTTCCCAAGAGAAAATCATTCTACTACCGCTGGTGGTTTGGGGCTATTGAGCTGTGGGTATCCATTTTCCATCATTTTTCCGTTCAAGAGGGCAGTCAAGGTATATACTGTACACAACATATATATATATATGGTATTTATTAGTACGTACAATATGCGTGAATATAAATATGTATCTATATATGCACGTATTAGTCATTATTAGTCAGAAAACCATTGCTTCGCTCGCTGGATTCGTCACGCATTTCTTCATGCCAAGTACAAACTTTGCGGTAGTGACGGCCAAGTCGGAGCAAAGCCGTTGATTTTGATGTCAAGTCTTGTGAAGCTTTTTTTTACAGCAAAGCTCTAGAAAACAGGACAGTTGCATAAACACTTATTACCTTGACAGCTGCATGCTGCAACCTTTCAAAGGACGTGGCCGGTTGCCGCTGCCGCGATGCTTGCCTTTTCTTGAGCCACAATGAATGGGACGGGAGCGAAGCATCCAAGTTTCAGGCTTTATTTCTTATTTCTGTCAACTTTTGGACTTTTGGCTCACGAAGTTGTTTCTTCCCACGACTCAAGTGTTCCTAGACTTTCTAGACAGTTACATAAGTTATATATATTTGCGCCAGCTTGCGGTTGTGCTAGCAGGATGTGGAAGCAGCTCTTAAGAGCTACTATGAAGCACCCAAAACGGAACAAGAGGCACAGCTGTTATCGATGCAACTCGTCGTCCATGTTTGTGCCGTTGCAAGGACGCGGCTATGCGGCAAACTTTATCTATATTTCTTTGACATCACATGAAATACTACTAGGAACAAGAAGCTACTAGGGGCTCCTGGAATTGAATCCGCTCTCCACCTGAGGCGTCAAAGGAGGTGTCACAAACGTCAACAGACAAGACAAGAGCTGCGCGGATCAGCCACTCATGCACGCCCCCAGCCAGGGTTGTGCGAGAGACTCAAGCGAAGCTGGAGTCACATTTCGCATAGAGGACGGATGCTAGACTGCTAGACTGAGTAGAACAAGGTTTCGAGACCGCTATGACTATGATGAAGGTGCAGGTTGCAGGGGCTTCAGGTCAAAAGCCGTTGCTGCGTGCTGCTACAATCCAGGGTTTCGTTCCTAAAATCGGACCCGAGGCAGCACAGACCGAATAGTGCACGGAACCTATTCTCCAGTTCAAAGCTTGCTCGGTCCATGCCAACAGCGGAATCCCGGAGATTGTGGCTTGGTGAAGGAGTCTCCAAGCCACTGTTGAACGAAGCTAGAGAAGTTTCGGCATTCGCGCGAAGTGCCTGAACTCTACTGAATATTCCTTGTGCGTAGCATAATCATACATATACGACTGTGGTGTTATTTTCTAGAGCCTTGACTTTTGGCATTTCCTCAGCGCTTAAGCAGCTTTTCCATCAACATGACCGCTGGTTGTAACTCTTCATGAAGACCCCCCTGCGAGCAAATTTACTTCGACATTGTCGCCACATGGCCAAACCATGCGAAACCCTACATGCGATTGTCGCCACCCAAAAATCCTTCCAAAAGCGAACTTGCAATCAGCCAGCATTTTGCTGAGAAAAACTATGCTCGTTTGAGTTTCAGATCAATTGAACTAGGTGCCCTTGTCACAGGGTTTCGTGTATACTGTTTGATCACCTCAGTTTGAATTGTAAGTCGAGCTTGGGCCAGGTTGCCAAACCAGTGGCTTGGAGTTCTGGCGGGGCAAAGTGACTTGGTGTCCTGTTTCAGGTTTTGACAGAAGACTGTAGCAGACACGTAGATCAAGCCTTCTGTCATGGTCCGTCCTGGTTTATTATTGGCTCATCACTGTTGAATTAATTGCACCTTTCTTGTCGAGAATGGGTTCCTTCTGCCTGTTCATGAGGCTCCGGCAGAAGGAGAAAGATTGTCCCATTTGTGTGGACGCTTACACTGGAGGCAGCGATCTGTGCTTGACTAGAACAGCGTGCACCAAAGCACGAGCCCAGTGGTTCATACGACACCTTCTACTAGCAATGGGCTTCAGCCTAGTAGAGATGCCCTCCAATCTAGAGCAAAAGCCTCCAACCTAATTACTAGCGATGGCCTCCAACCTAAGAGCGATGGCCTCCAACCTACTAGCAATGGGCCTCCAACCTGCTTGGCGTCTTACTTTCTTGCCCAACAAAGAAGGCCAGCATGAGTTTTGTCGGGCACATCTGAGACGAACACCAAAAGATATTGCTGCGTGCTTCTGATCAAGAACTGACATTAGTACGACCAGCCCCAAGACATCAATATGGTAACAATCACAACAAGAGCAACACGGGTAACAGTTGGTTACCAAACAAGACGGAGCAGTTGGTTACCATTTCAATTCCCTAACAAGCCCCAACTCAACAGTGCAAGAGTGATGCCCGTGGCATCCGGAAGATCGGCAGAACGAACGAGCACAAACGAGCCAAGCAACTGCAGACTATTTCTCATTGTTTTTTAAAAGGCTGTAGCCCTGCCTCCTTACTTAATTAAGTAGGCGCCTACTTACAAAGTAAGGGCGAGTAGTTCGCTGGCAATGCTTAAGCATTTTAAGGCAGGATAGGTCATGCCTCAAGGAAGCTCCCCGCGCCTTGAGGGCGGGGGGAGCTTCGAAGAAGCGCTCGCACCGAGTTGATTCGTAGACTTTTAGGGACACTTAATTACACATCGCAGCACCCTACGACTGTAGCGCTACCTTGCCTGAAGACTTGTTATCGGCCCGCTTTCTTTCAGTTGCCAAGGTTTCCTGACTCTCGACGCATTTTCCACAAGTCGTTTGCTTTGATCTTTCTTCTTGATCTTTGTTGGCCCTTCATGCAGACTTTACGGATCTCAAGTGAGACGCTTGCTGTACCAATGGCAGTTGGCCAGAAGGGATGAGAAAGGCATTGCATGCAAGAATAGGCAGGGGGGAAGAAAGAAGTCAAAACACAGGTCTGAAGGCCTGAAGATTACTTTTCAATAAAATCTAAGAGCCCTCACTCTACTACGTCCTTTACTCAAGCTACAAACATATCTTCTTCCATCTTCCTAGCGACCTACCCTGCCCCAAGATACAAAACAACGATGGATGGAAGGAAGGGAGCCAACATGGTGGTGGGGTGCACTTGCCAAGCATTCGGTCCAAGCTCGATCAATTGCCCGTGGCTACGGCTAAGCAGTGCAGTAGAAACGCGTTGCACGATCCTTGGCATCATTGTTCCATATTCCATGTTGTTTCTTGTGAAACGCTTTGCAAGTTCTTCGAATGTCCGCTCTCACAATGAATGACTCAATCAATTGTGATTTGCTTTGCAAGTTAAGTTTCCCTAAGCATCTAGGAACCAAATCATTAGTGTGAGTGTGAGCTATCCTGCGTCCATCTGTAGGAGCTTCCTATTGCTAGTAGCGAACTTCCTCCGTACTTACTTACCTCCCTACTTAATAAAGTAGGCACCTACTTATATAATTACAGTAAGTAAGGAGGCCAAGCGGCCCAAAAATATAGTTTTTTTACCATTACTCTCATTTGAAGGGTTTTTCTCCCGCACTCAAAACTGAAAAACCCGACATTTGTGAAAAGGCGATGCTGAAGGGAACAGCCCTCGCACAAAGGTCTGTTGATGTAAAGCTGTTGAAGTGCATATGCGTGCGGTTTTTTTGGGGAATCCGTTTACAGAGCCCAAGTTGAGGAGAGTAGTGTATACGGTTGCTTGTTACTGATGCCGTGCAACCAGGCAACCAGGCAATCATGACCAAGTGCTGCTTCCAAGTCCTTTGCGCAAAGTGCCATGAGCGACTTACTGACTCAACAGGTGGGACAGTCGCCACAAGCAGAGACAGCTGTAGCCGCCAAGGGCCGCTAGCCAAGTAGCGGCCAGCCGTTTCTTCCAGGTCGTCTTTCTTGTCCCTTTTGCCGGGGTGCTGACGGCCTGGAACGAATTGAGGATAAAGTCGAGTTCCGCAACTGCGCAGGATTCCGCAACTAGGATTCCGCAACTGTTTGGTCGGATTCCGCAACTGGGATTCCGCAACTAGGATTCCGAAACTAGGATTCCGCAACTAGGATTCCGCAACTAGGATTCCGCAACTAGGATTTCGCAACTAGGATTCCGAAACTAGGATTCCGCAACTGTCAAGATTCCGCAACTAGGATTCCGCAACTAGGATTCTGCAACTGGGATTCCGCAACTGGCGTTCCGCAACTAGGATTACGCAACATTGTGGACTCCCTCACTAGGATTCCGCAACTTTGTGAATGATGAGGGGGTTGGCGTGATGTCGAGATCACACGATGGGGACAAGGGGGGGTTGGGGGGTGGGGGGGTTGGGTGGGGGGCTAATGACGTTGGTTTGGATGTGCTTCGAAGGTGATGTCGCAGGCACACACGCTGTCGCATGATGTGGAGATCACCAGTTGCAAGTTTCAGAAGGCAAGTTGCAGAATCTGACTTTCCGGTTTCAGAATACCAGTTGCAGAATCTGACTTTCCAGTTTCAGAATACAAGTTTCAGAATCCCAGTTTCAGAATCCTAGTTTCAGAACCCCAGTTTCAGAATCCTAGTTTCAGAACCCCAGTTTCAGAATACCAGTTTCAG